ATTTGTATGAATACACATTAAATTTCTTCAACAACCTGTCTTTTATCATTCTCTTAAACAAACACATTGATGTGGCATTTTTAACATCACTCTCCAGATTATTCCATAATCTTATTCCTTGACTTAAAGTACATCACTCCTTCAAACTGGTTTGAAATTTAGGTGTCACAAACATCTCTATCCCTTTCAGATTGAAATAACTCTCTCTCTCTCTCTCTCTCTTAACAAAATTTAATTAGGTGTTTAAAGGGAATGTGTTTTTTGTGAGCCTTATACATAACCTGTAAAATATGACAGTTTTAAATCCAGTTAATTAAAATAAATCATTAAAATCAACCTTATAGATATTTTTGAATTTGAAAATGTTGAGATTGTTTTCTTACACAGGAGACTTGTAACTGATATGTGATTTTTTTGTAAAGCAAAGGCCTAATTGACCTGTGTTATCTTTGAGCAGAAAACATTGTTGATGGACTGATCCAGCTGACTGCAGTTAGCAGAACGATCTCATCACAGCACAACACGCTGTCAGGTGACATCAYCCTGCCCTGGAGGTGCGAGGCATTGCAAGGCTCAGTGGAGGTACTACACTTACATGTTTCTTTGATTTTTACAAAGGAATAAAAATACACCAAATTTTTTTCTCAGTTTTAGAATTAAAAATCCCAAGTGAAAAGTCTCAAAGAGTTAGTGTTTAGCATGCACCGTTATTCATTCAAAGCAAAGAACCCTGGATTTGGCATGTCCACCAACACTTACAGCACTTTGTACCATTATGCATGGCTGAACACAAGTATCTGCAGCTGATAGACTTAAACATATTGGATCTGAGGGTTCAAATAATTGTCAAACCTCAGATSCTGGAAGAGCAGTTCAGCTTTTGTTTGGATCAACAAACAGGAGCCAGATATTTACCCTCACAGAAGTCTGAGTGGATCATGGGACTTTGATTGTCCAGTCATTGTGTGTTTTGTGTATCTGGAGAAGGCTACAGTCCTGTCCCCYAAAGGGATTTGTTTGGCAGAGCTGTGGGAATATGGGATGCCAGAATCATTCCTGTGGGGTATTTGGTCCCTGAACAATCAAAGCTGTGTTCAAACCTACACCCAACATTGAGGTTAGGGCAGGTTCTCTGACAGGACTACTCCTTGTCTCTGATCCCGATCATGGTGTTCATAGGAATGAAGAGGAGGATGTCTAAATTGTTGATTCTCATSCAGGCATTATATTTTAACACAGTTTAAGCGTGAAAGCTTAGACCACAATGTAAGACTGTGGTTTAATTTTGTTCAGCAATATCAAAACAGTCACAACCCACAAGTTGAAGTTCCTGCTGATACATGTTTACTCTCCTCACCAGAACTGCAGCATCATGAGTCTGACTCTGCTGGAYGAGTTCTCTCAGCCCCTGAAGTGTGTCAGTTCTCCTGTGTCCATGGAGCTGGACTGGGCACCTGATTCTTCTGGCTACTATTACGACTTTGACGGTGACACCTACCGGATCCACTATCAGGACTCTGACATCCAGGTGAAAATGCAGCTCGTGAAGCTGAAAGAGAAGCGTCAGTTTATCGTCATCAGTTTAGACGTTTATGTGAATGTTTGTTTTGTCAACAAGCATTTCGGAAGAAATTACTGATTCWATGAGCATCTTTGTGTTTCGCAAATAAAAGTCTTTTTCTTTCAAAGTTTGCATTTTTGTTTCATCTCACTTCTCTCGAGGCCTCTGAAATGAGATGCACATTCTTTAATTTTTATGTTGTTCCTGTGGATTTATTGTTATAAAATAGATTTAATAAAGTTTCCTTATTTATCTAGCTTTTCTTTTTATAAATTTAACACTCATTTTCTGTACAAGTAAAATTAATTTAGTTTTTCTTGTAAATTTGAAACATATCAAATCTGTGATTTTCTTCATTTGGCTTTTTTTTAACAATCACGTTCTCCTAATTGCATTTTGAAACAAACAAAAAAACATTTTCATATGAAAATGCAGCTTGTTGTCCACATCCTAGGCAAATCTGGCCACTGCAAAAAATAAAACAAAATAAATTTAATTAAATTACTGGTTTTATTGATTGTTTTGACGTAGCCGTCAACTCAAAATCCACATTTTCAAAACATTTAATGCAGAGGCCTAAACAGTGCCACAGTGGTCAAAATGACACATTTTGTTTGCAAAAGGCACTAACTGCCAAAACATTTAAAATGTGGAACAAAAGCAAATTTTGCCTTCAAACAACTCAACCTTTACACAAGTTTATGAGCACCTCCAATCAATCAGTACACAATGGGCAACAAAATACAAAATAAAGCACTCGTGTGAATCAGTGCACCATTGCTTGTCATTGTAGCCTATGACTGTACGTAGCTTACATGCCAGTGCTGTTTGTAGTCAAAGTTGCCCTCTTACAAAAAATGCATCCAGAAGCAGATATGCTTTGATGCAAATATTGATTACATTCTTTTTTCAGACTGTGCCTGACAAATGAAATATTCCAACAGAGAATACATAGACATAAAAATAAAAACCTTTACTGTGTGAGAAATTAGGTAAATAAAAAAGTCTTTTACAGTAAAGAACAAAAATCTATAGTAGGCCTATACTATATGAGTATGAGAACAACACAGGTCTGCAGACTGATTGCAAATTGAAAAAAATCTGTGAAGAAGTGTCAAACAGGTGCTTATGGTGATTTCATACTGATCAGGGAGTTTCTAAGAGATTGGAGCAGATGGTTTCTGTTCTGCAACCACAGCTAAAATGGAGGAGTTTGGACTTCTTGAATGACATCTGCATTAACTGTTTTGAAAAAAGGGTGGACAACTGTGTCAATCCAATGAGAATGGGTTAACACATTGCAAGAGGTGTCTTCTGCTCTGCTGAGATGGTGATGATGAAGACTGAGAGGTTCCCAGTTTCTTCAAACAGGTCAGAGCAATCAATAAAAACTGTAAATTAAAACGTCATTGTAGGTACTGGAAGTAGCTGCCATGCTGCTGCTAGCCACAGAAAGTTGGCGAGCCTCAGGGAAGGTAATAGGATTTACCTTCGTTTTGGCAAACRGGATCATCGTCACCTTGAAAAGATGCTTATTTTTCCAAATACACTGYCAACGTCAGCATGTTGAAAGTGTTTATGGAAAATACTAAAGTAAAAAAAATGGTTGAACAATACAAACTTTTTTTCATAGACATGAATCAAAATTTAAACATATAGAGTAATAAAGAGATAATTTTGAAGCCATTTCTTTTCCTCTACATTCACATCCAGAGCTGAATTTTGATCCAGAAAATAGCGTTTTTGCTTTGAGATGCTGATGTTGCTTAATAGTGACCCATTATAGAGACTATTTACTGTTGAGTTATAAAGACACACACTGGCTAACTTGAAGTGTATTAAACTGACAAAGTGTGTCATTACTTGGACTTATTCTATGTCCTTGGTTTCCATCACAGTGGCCTCGTACAAAAATCTGCCATCACATCATCTGTTCCAAACGGCTTTTCTTCAGGCCCGTTTTATATGAAAACACCAGAAGCCAAGGGTAATGTGCATTTGTAATGGGTTGGCAGGCACATAAAGCAGTTAYTCATTTGTTTGAGTGACACATTTGGCTGAGTTGGCTCACACAGGTGGATGCTTGGGTCAAGGACCAAGCTCTGYCTTTTGCTCTGCACAAAGTACTTCTCTGCAAACACTGACATTTTGCATTTAAAATTCAGCTTTTCTTTCAATAAAAAGCTAAAAAAAGATGCAAATTTCACATATCTCCAAAGTTTATATCAGGATGTTCTCCAGTAGATGGCTCTCTTTAGCTAACAATACGATTTTTATGACCAGAGGAACAAAAACCGTCTTAAAAAGATTGATATTTGACACCTTTCGGCATCAACAGAGGTTTTGTGACATCAACTCTAGTTTAAAGTTTTAGATTAAAAATAGTTTTGTTTTACTGTTGCCTCATATTTAAAGTTTGCATATAAAGCACTGATCAGCAAACAAATAGTTTTTGTTTTTATTTGCATCAAATATTTAAATATTTTTGGGACAGGAATTGCATTTGATCTGTTTTCACAATGTGATATTAGACGGAAAGATATTTTTGGTTTTCCTTCAAAGTTTTTTTCTCACAAGTGTGGTTACTTCTTTATTTTATTTTAATTTAAAACATCTGAAGGATTTTGTTGTAGGATTTGAAACAWAAGTTTCAACTCCATTTTCACGCTGCTTCATTTTACAAGTTCCAGTGAGTTTGTACGGGGGGGACAACTGGGCGCATATCAGCACTTAATCTAATGCGTCAAAGAAGCAYTTTCTGCAATTTAATGGTTCACTTTGTATTATCCTCACATAACATCCTATGTCTCCCCAGTCTCTGAACAGGTGTTTGCTGGGAAGGCAAAGTCTAACCTTTTAATCTTTTCTTATTTTTCAAACCTCATTCTTGCTGCAAAACAAACAAATGATTAAAAGTAACATCATGGACTTAATGATTAGTAAAATTAGGAAAGATTTTCTTATATTAGGTTACAATAAAAGATTGATTAATTTTTTATGTGCAGCAGTTTTGAAGCTACTGCCCAAAACGGAGTGATCTGTTCAGTATAAATAATAACAGTAATAAAAAAACAGCTGTTCTGAACCCTTCCAAAGGGGTGATGGTGACCTTAATGGACCTGCAAAGCTCAGTATTTACCTTCTGTTGAGTTTATTTAACAAACTAACCTGAATCTGTAACCTCAATATCTATATTTACTAGGGGTGCAACAATACATGTACCCGTATCGAACAGTGCTGTATCGAACAATACAGATTTAAAAAATTTACTTTATCAACTTGTTTTCTGAAGATGTTCTGTGTTAAAGGATCAGTGGATCTGTGTTCGACTACTCCACCTAGGCTGCATTTTTGAGAGCAGATCCACTGAGAAACTTGCTGTTTCAGCAACATTTAATTTAAAAACTGTACTTTTGAGGTTAAACAAATGTTCTTAATTAATATAAATAAATTACAAGTTAAAAGGGGCATGGAAATTTCTCTTTTTTGTATCGAAAAAATATCAAACCGTGAGACTACAGTATCGAACCGAACCGAACCGTGAATTTCCTGTATCGTTGCACCCCTAATATTTACCTGTGACTAGCCTGCTGTTGTTGTGGGCATTGTACAGCCAAGACACGATGGYGACAACGTGTTTTCTTTAAGCCTAAATTGAAAATGTTAAAAGCAGTGCCTTCTTTGGGTTTCACAGAAAACGGTCTGGGCTCTGCCGTCACAGAGTTCCGGGAACAATCAGCGTCGGTTCTAAAGGTCTCTGCCTGAGGCAAACTCTATTGATCGGAACCTCTATTAGGGAGGAAAGAAGACGAGACCAGACACAGAGAGGAAAACACAGAGTGGGGGGACTTCGAAGACTCAAAGCCTCCCTCATTATGTGTGGATGGGATCAGACAACATGGCGAACACGGTGAAACAAGCGTGTAACATCTGGTGCCGGAGATGCATGAATACATGCATGGCTCTGTGTAGGTGTCAGGGATGTTTTTGGTTTACTCCCAGCTCAGCAGCACCCAGCCAAGCTTTCAAAAATCTCTCAATAAGGTCCTACTTTAATGAAAGTGCTTGCTTTTTTTTTTTTTTTGGCCATAAAATCACATTATCAAAGGTTTGGCACAGGGAGTTTCAAAGGTCTTCACACTTGGCTCCCATTTGTGAATCATATTGTGTTTTCCATTTCCTGCTTACACTAAATAAATAAGATGGTTTAGGACCATAAATGCTTATCTGAGTCAGATATCTTGTTGGAAAACAGTAAAATATCCCCTCATTTAAGCTGTTTTATTTGTTCCTGTTCATCSTTTGGTTTTAAACTGTTGTTTGTGGAATACCTTAATCAAACACCCTCCTGGGAAGAATAAAGGTCCTCTGTTAACCAGGTTGAAACAAGTCGGTGTGGTGTTGGATGATTACTTTTTAATCACATCTCTGCTGTAGGGCCACCTGTGCTTGACATTCAATAACAATGATGGCGCTCACTGTGACTGAAACATTTCCACCTACTTGCAGRGACACAGTTACTGGTAACAGTAAATAACATGCAGTCTGCTCGGCGGACATCAGAGGGTTTTTCCTCTCCTGAAACTTGTCCAATCATCCGWAGCCTCTGAGTCATGTTTGATTCAGCTTTAACTAGTGTACTTGACAAACTGTCATTGCTGCTGCAGTCTGATGATTTCAGTACATCAATACTGATGTTTTGAAAAATCACCGTAAAACTAGGTGTTTGCCTTTGGTACTTCCAGGGTGAGCTTTCATGTAAGGTATTAAAGTGATTAGACTCTGGTGCTGCTATAACTGCAACCCTTGTCTGAATGGACCTCACTGAGCTTTAGCTGTTACACAAAGTAGGGCCAAACATGCAACCTGTGTTCTCTGTGACACATTCGTTTTAGAATAAATGAAACATGTTTATAGCTCTTGTATTTGATTGCTGGTTTGTAAAACGGGCAAAAAAATGAAAAAAAAAAAAAAAAAAAAAACGATGGCCGAAAACAAGGATTGAAACTATAAATCTTCTCAATTTCTGTACAAAAATCACACCCAGCTTTAACAAACCTTTGTCACAATCTTGTTTTTGTTTTTTTACATTTGTCTCATTGTACTCCAACCCTGTTTGTGAATTAA